ATTGCTGTCAGTTGCAAAATGTTACCGCATTTCATTGTAAATATATTGATTGGTTTACTAGTTTTGCTGGTTCAGTAGTATTAAGAGTAACATCTCCTGCCCGTCATCCTCTTATGCTCTAGTCCCCTTCATCTTTTGTGTTGCTTAATAAATGGGCAGACACTAGGTCAAGCACGAACTCCTTTCCCTTGTTCATAAGCACAGATTTACAGTAATCATAATCTCTACAAAGAGTGAACACCAACTTAACTTCCTAAAGGTACAACAGAATTTATCAGGAATATGAGACCTGAACCAGAAGTTCCATAATTATAATTTATGGGAGGAAACCAATAATTTTTGGTTTCCTAAATTATGCCTTGTTTGAGAGGGAATATTTATGTTTTTGTGCTAATTCAGTCTCTACCAACAAAAACATTTAAGGTGATAAAACTTTTCAGGATGCACCATTAATGTGCATTCCATGGAATAAAGTGGGACTTTATTTGTGGGGACTTTATTTTTAAAGTGGGACTTTACCAAAAGGTACTGAATCCATCTGAACAAATGTGCAGGAATTGAACAAAACATGATGAGAATATGCATTCTTTTGCTATAAAATGCAATTTTCCAAGCCCTGTACCAACATCATTCGATACATTTGGTAGTTTTGATCTGTACATAATATTCTACTTCTAGCCAACAATATGTTGCCACCTATAGCTCATGTATCATTTTTATTTTTTGATTTGGTAACTTTTGGAAACAAACCACATTTAGATGTAACAGCAAACCATAGTTGGCTTGCATGCTCCTTCTCTGCCATTTTAAAAAGCAGACTTGATAACTGAGCTATCCATAGGGTGCTGCTGTCTCTGAATGAGTCAAACAATAGCATATTCAAACCATCATTCATTCATAAACTGGGATTCCAAAATAGGGTGACAATATGTAGTTTAGAAATGCTAGAGTATAGATTCAGGATTCAGATTATTTAGCCTTCCTCATGTATGCAGTGTGAAACCATGGCTTGGTGTTACATCTGAATGCTGTTCCAATGTAGCCAACAGGACGAGACCTTATGAAATTTGAGACTTAATATTCATGAACAGAGCTATAGTCATATGCAGTGGGCTTGCTTTAGAACAGGGGTCATCAAACTTTTTAAACAGAGGGCCAGGTCACAGTCCCTCAAACTGTTGGAGGGCTGGATTATAATTTGAAAAAAAAAAAGATGAATACTATGCGCTCTGCACATATCTTATTTATTGTGCAAAACATACTTTAAAACAATACAATCATTAAAATCAAGAACATTTTCAACAAATATAAACATTATTTCAATGGAAAGTGTGGGCTTGCTTTTGACTGATGAGATAGGATTGTTGTTTTGTGCTTTAAAGTCGTTTCAGACTTAGGTTGACCCTGAGTGAGGGCTGGTTGAGTGACCTTGGAGGGCCATATCTGGCCCGTGGGCCTTAGTTTTAGGACCCCTGCTTTAGAAACTATTGTTGTTCATTCGTTCAGTCGTCTCCGACTCTTCGTGACCTCATGGACCAGCCCACGCCAGAGCTCCCTGTCGGCCGTCACCACCCCCAGCTCCTTCAAGGTCAGTCCAGTCACTTCAAGGATGCCATCCATCCATCTTGCCCTTGGTCGGCCCCTCTTCCTTTTGCCTTCTTTCCAGCATAATTGTCTTCTCTAGGCTTTGCTGTCTCCTCATGATGTGGCCAAAGTACTTCAACTTTGTCTCTAGTATCCTTCCCTCCAATGAGCAGTCGGGCTTTATTTCCTGGAGGATGGACTGGTTGGATCTTCTCGCAGTCCAAGGCACTCTCAGCACTTTCTCCCACACCACAGTTCAAAAGCATCGATCTTCCTTCGCTCAGCCTTCCTAAGGTCCAGCTCTCACATCCGTAGGTGACTACAGGGAATACCATGGCTTTGACTAGGCAGATCTTTGTTGCCAGTGTGATGTCTCTAATCTTTACTATTTTATCAAGACTGGACATTGCTTTCCTCCCAAGAAGTAAGCGTCTTCTGATTTCCTGGCCACAGTCTGCATCTGCAGTAATCTTTGCACCTAGAAATACAAAGTCTGTCACGGCCTCCACGTTTTCTCCCTTTATTTTCCAGTTGTCAATCATTCTTGTTGCCATAATCTTGGTTTTTTTGACGTTTAGCTGCAACCCAGCTTTTGCGCTTTCTTCTTTCACCTTGATTAGAAGGCTCCTCAGCTCCTCCGCGCTTTCGGCCATCAGAGTGGTGTCATCTGCATATCTGAGGTTGTTAATGTTTCTTCCAGCAATTTTCACCCCAGCCTTGCATTCATCAAGCCCCGCACATCGCATGATGTGTCCTGCATACAAGTTAAAAAGGTTGGGTGAGAGGATGCAGCCTTGCCGTACGCCTTTCCCAATCTTGAACCAGTCTGTTGTTCCGTGGTCAGTTCTGACTGTTGCTACTTGGTCCTTGTACAGATTCCTCAGGAGAGAGACAAGGTGGCTTGGATGCCCATCCCACTAAGAACTTGCCACAATTTATTATGATCCACACAGTCAAAGGCTTTAGAATAGTCAATGAAGCAGAAGTAGATGTTTTTCTGAAACTCCCTGCCTTTCTCCATTATCCAGCGGATATTGGCAATCTGGTCTCTCGTTCCTCTGCCTTTTCTGAACCCAGCTTGAACATCTGGCAACTCTCGCTCCATGTATTGCTGGATTCTTCCTTGAAGGACCTTGAGCATTACCTTACTGGCATGAGAAATAAGGGCCACTGTACGGAAGTTGGAGCAGTCTTTCGCATTTCCCTTTTTTGGTATGGGGATATAAGTTGATTTTTTCCAGTCTGATGGCCATTCTTGTGTTTTCCATATTTGCTAGCAAATGGCATGCATCACCTTGACAGCATCATCTTTTAAGATTTTAAACAGTTCAGCTGGGATCCCGTCGTCTCCTGCTGCCTTGTTGTTAGCAATGCTTCTTAAGGCCCATTCAACCTCACTCCTCAGGATGTCTGGTTCTAATTCATTCACCACACCGTCAAAACTATCCTCAATATTATTATCCTCCCTATACAGATCTTCTGTATAGTCTCGCCACCTTCTCTTGATCTCTTCAGCTTCTGTTAGGTCCCTGCCATCTTTGTTTCTTATCATACCAATTTTTGCCTGAAATTTACCTCCAATGTTTCTAATTTTCTGGAAGAGGTCTCTTGTCCTTCCTATTCTGTTGTCTTCTTCCACTTCCATGCATTGCTTATTTAAAAATAGTTCCTTATCTCTTCTGGCTAACCTCTGGAATTGCGCTTTTAACTGGGCATATCTCCCCTTATCCCTGTTTCCTTTTGCTTTCCTCCTTTCTTGGGCTACTTCCAGTGTCTCAGCAGACAACCATTTTGCCTTCTTGGTTTTCTTTTTCTTTGGGACGTACATTGTTGCCGCCTCCTGAACAATGTCTCGGACTTCTGTCCATAGTTCTTCTGGGACTCTGTTTACTAAATCTAGTCCTTCAAATCTGTTCTTCACTTCCACTGTATATTCGCTAGGAATGTTAGTGAGATCATATCTAACTGGTCTGTGTATTTTCCCTGATCTCTTTAGTTTTATTCTAAATTGAGCAATAAGAAGTTCGTGATCTGAGCTACAGTCAGCCCCAGGTCTTGTTTTCACCGACTGGATGGATGTCCGCCACCTTTGGCTGCAAAGGATGTAGTCAATCTGATTTCGGTGTTGACCATCTGGTGAGGTCCATGTATAAAGCCGTCTTTTAGGTTGTTGGAAGAGAGTATTCGTTATACACAGCGAGTTTTCCTGGCAAAATTCTATCAGCCTGCGTCCCGCTTCATTTTGTTCTCCCAGGCCATGCTTGCCTGTGATCCCAGTTGTCATTTGACTTCCCACCTTGGCATTCCAGTCTCCTGTAATGAAAATAATGTCTCTTTTTGGTGTATTATCCAGTAGTTCCTGCAGATCCTCATAGAACTGATCTACTTCTGCTTCTTCAGCAGCTGTGGTTGGGGCATATATTTGGATCACTGTAATGTTGAAAGGCTTTCCTTGCACTCGAATTGAGATCATTCTGTCATTTTTTGGGTTGTATCCAAGCACCGCTTTAGCGAATTTCTTATTAATTATGAAGGCTACTCCATTTCTTCGATGTTCCTCTTGTCCGCAGTAGTAGATCTGGTGGTCATCTGATGTGAAGTGGCCCATTCCAGTCCACTTCAGTTCGCTGACCCCCAGAATGTCTATCTTTAGTCTTGACATCTCGCCCATAACAACATCCAATTTGCCCTGGCTCATAGATCTTACATTCCAGGTTCCTATGGTGTGTTGATCTTTAGAGCATCGGATTCTTCGTTCACCTCCAGTACCGTCGGCCGCTAGCCTTCCTTTCGGCTTTGAGCTAGCTGCGTCATCACATCTGGGGCTAGTTGAACTTATCCTCTGCTCCTCCCCAGTAGCATTTTGGCCATCTTCCGACCTGGGAGTCCCACCTTCCAATGGCATACCGACATATCTCTGGTTGTACTGGTCCATTTAGTTTTCTTGGCAAGGATACTGGAGTGGTTTGCCATTGCCTTCCCCAGGGATCACGCTTGGTCTGACCTCTCTGCCACAACCGTCCCGTCTTGGGTGTCCCTTCACGGTTTCGCTCATGACATCATTGAGGTGCTCAAGCTCCAGCGCCCCGACAAGGCGGTGATCCTTTGCTGAAGTTAGAAACTATTATTAGTCACTAATTACTACCTCTCTCTCACTCACACACAGCTATGGCTAAAATATTATTAGAATAAGTTGAACCCCCTAAATCTAACTGTGCTAGAAAATGTTTAGCTACTAAGAACTGTTTTGAAGTTTCTCTCCTGCTTTGCCTACATTTATCAAAAATGCCAAAAATGAAGGTTTCTCTCTACAATTTGTCCCCAACTGTGAGTTGCATTGGTTAAATAGCGCTATACATTTTGAACCTTCATTTTACATGATTGGAACTGAATATCTTGTTTCTGTTTTTTCATAGACCGTGAATTAACACAAGGATGGCCAGTGGATGCTCAGGTTTTAATTGAAGATATGGACTGGAATCAAAGTAAGACATTATGGGAAATTGGCTTATGTATACACTGAAATGTTGATGTAGAAACAAGATTTCTGGTGGAATACCAAGTATCCATCTTGTCCATCAGTCTGTTTCTAAGACCATCCTGATAGATGGACCTTAAAAGTTGGAAGCAGGCAAGGAGAATAGCAGCCCTCCCTTGCTATTTTCACCCCAAGAACTGTTCAGAGCAAAAAAATAAAGGTCCAATTTATTCATATACTCAATCATTGCTTTTGGCAGTTTCATTCTACTTGTTTTACTCTGATTTCTACATCATGTAAACAGAGGAATTGCCAAATGTGGCTTTTCTCCATCATTGCTCCTTTTGCGTGGAAGGTCTTCAGAAAAAAAGATTTTCAAACATATGTATGCTTTCCATGCAAACAGCCCCCCCCCCCCCATTTTGGAGGTCCTTCCTCTTGTGGAAACTTCAGTGTGATTAAGAACTTCTCCCCCATAGAGGCATCACTTTTCATATGACAAAAGCAGTGATGGAAGTGGTCTTCCTCTGCTCATATGATGATAAGGCTATGGATGAGGAACGTTTGATAAGGCCTAAACTAATCTGATTTCAGATGCATCATCACCAGTGGGTATCACCACATCATGACCGTAAATAAATTAATATAGCTGCAGAATTGGAATGAACCCAAGAATCTTAGTCCAAGCCCCCATCCATAATTAAAGCATCCTAGAAAAATGGCCGTCTAATATCTCCTTAAAACCTTCCAATGAAGGTGTACACCACTGTCAAACAGCTCTTATCAGCAGGAAGTTATCTTGTGCTGCAACCCCTTACTGTATTATTGTTTCTGTTTTTATGAGGTTTAATACTGTTTTATTTTTAGAATAAGACAAGGCCACACTTTGAGCAGATTTCTCCCGTTGTCCCAACAGCATATCTTCGTCTTCTCCTGGTATTGCCTTGCTTCAGACATAACCTGACAATTCCTTACTACAACCATGTAAATGTTCATTATACCTTAACAGGATTCCCAGTCTTTGCAATCTACATCCTTAAGTAGGAAAAGAAATATTGCATATTTATTCTGTGTTCCTGCAGAATGGCCATTTACTCCCCCTTTTCATAAACTTGTGCTCACAAATTCATCAAGATTATGCAAACAGCTGGGTATAGCTATTAGCTGCTAGTCCTGTCCCCTATCAGCACTAGCCTCTATCCTTTAAACCAGGGGTGAACACTGGGTGACTGGGCCTCAAAAATATTCTTGCAGGTTCTTTAGGCCATCCTTTCCCCACCCAATCTAGACTTTGAATTTGATTCATAGTTTGTTTATTTATTTATTTACTTACTTACTTACTTCATTTATACCTCAGGGGACTCAAGGCAGCTCACAACTCCAGTACAATTCAATACCAGTAAGATCAACAGTAAAAACAATAGCATATCTCCTCCATTAAGACAGTTAATAGTTAGTCAATAAACACAGAGTTATGAACAACATTGTTCTGCCTAAGTATTCAATGGCTATTTCTTAACATAAAAATCCCCAAATGCCCCTTAATTATTTGAATTACTAATTTGTTTGTTTTTGTTTTGTTTTTTGTTTTTTTCTTTTACTTCTCACAAAGCCATTTTGCATTAGGGAAGTTTGTAATGTTCCAAATATGCCATGCCATGTCACACACGGACTGTAATTTTAAACCCAGGTTTACTAAGTATTTGCCTACTTTAGTTTGATATTTTAAGACTTGTAAGTATTTTTGTTAAGTCTGTGGCATTGCAGTCATGTAGACACATGAAGGAAGAAGGAAGGTATCAGTATGGCAGCTGTATCATAAATACATTGAAACCTACAAATACAAAATTCTAAGATTTTCTTCTCTGTAGTTCATATGGGAAAGAGAACTGCCAGGATTTCTCACAATAGTCTTTAAAAAAAATTCTGAGCTTATCATCTGAGCCAGAAAACCTGCCCCACAGAAAAATGTAGATGGACAAGCTGGTGTGGAACACAGTGACATGTACAATGACAGTATATTTTTTGATTATGTGTATCCCCAAAGTATTTTACTTTAGATCACAGCATTACAAGGAACAATATAGATCTACTGCAGATTGGAAACACTAGTCTGGAAACAAGTCTGCATTGATTCTGTTGTAGATGTGAGCTTCATTTGTAGAACTTTATTTTTTCATATTAGAGATAACCTCTCATGATATTTATCAGTTTGGTTTTGAAAGTAGTTTTGTTTTCCACATTTATAAGTAGTGGTAAAATATGTTTTGAAGCTTACCATATAAATAGTTTTTTGGAAGAATCTGAAAGGCAGATTACAATCACTGCATTTTGTTCCAACAGGCGAGCACAGTTATTCTCTCACATGCCGATGTGGTGGAAAATACATTGTCTCCAAAAGTGAAGCTGAAGATGGGTCTGTTGTAAGCTGCAATACCTGTTCGCTGCTTGTAGAGATTCTTAGATAACCTAACAACTTATGTGATTTGAGTTTGCAGAAAATGTAAAAGATGTAACTAGGAGGACAATTAGTAGAATTCATTACCACTGAATACAGTGATAATAAATAGAAAGTGTAAGAAAACTTAAGTTAAAAATCAAGTCATTGTTTAGATCACAAGTGTCAAATGCAAGGTCCGCAGGCCGAATCTGGCCCGCCACATCATTTTATGTGGCCCATGAAGTTTTCAATGCCAGGGCAACATATTTACATTGATACAGTCTTACAATTACCAACAGCCCTTTGAAGGCAACTATAAGGCTGATGTGGCCATTGGTGAAAATGGGCTTGACACCCCTGCTTTAGATACTGTCGGATTGCAGTTCTTTGTAAGCCTGTGCTCTATAGACTTTCTGGGGGCTGTAATTTAACAGCATCTGGAGAATCCCTTGATTCCCACTCCTGATGTAAAGTAATGTTACAAAGTTGTTTTATTTCTGTATCTGATTTTTTCAGAAAATTAATGGGACTCGTGATATAAATGCAGAGTATAAAACATTTGTAACTCATAATATTTCAATTTGAACAATGCTATCCTATTACTTCATCACACTAGAGAAAACATCCACTTAAAATCTGGTTTCTGCCTCCTGCAGAATTCTGGGGTTTGTAGTTTAGTGAGGCTATTAAATGCTCCTCCCTAAACTACAAACTCCAGAATTCTGCAGGAGCAGAAACTGGATTTTAAGTGGATTTTTTCTCTAGTGTGATGAAGCCCCTAGCGTAAAATATTTAATGTCTTGTTTGCTTTACATCCGGAGAAGAGAAGGTATGACCTGTGGGCCACATGCTATTCTCTAAAAGCTTCCCAATGCACCCAGGTTTTTGTTTTACTTACTCCCTGGGCACCACACAAAAATCTCCAAACTATAAAAATGTGCAAAATGCTTCCACCCCTTCCAGAATTGCCTCTGTTTTCATCAGAGTCCTTTTTAAAATGGCAACAGGATGCAAAATTTTGATCAGTATTTTGAAAGGAACTCTGAAGATAAAGAAATGCATTTTGGTGCCACAGATGGGGCCTGTAGAAGTGGGGAGAAGGGTGCTTTCTGGGAAAATTGGTTTCTGCACAATGCTCAATATATTTTATATATTGAAGTAGAGAGTAATCTTTTTCTGAGACTAATGGATCCAGCAACCAAGAAGAAATTACAGTTGGGTCAGAAGTGTTGAATTAAAAGTGTTCTCATGGCTGGTGCTGTTTCAAAACAAATTTAATGTAATATATCATAGTTATGTGCCTTGAGAATGGGAAACGTTATAACCAATTGTATAGTAACATTTATATGCTGACCTCACTATACCTAATTGGGAGATAGGCTCAAGTAAGGGCAGGGAGCCTCATGCTCAGTAAATGTTTTGCAATATAGCTACTGTAATGATTGACCATTGGCAATACTGCAAGGCTTTATGGAAACTTTTATCAAAAGTACCCAGATAATTCTAGATTCCTGCCTTTCTCCTAGAGTGTACAGTAGGCCCTCCACTTTCAGGTAAAAAAACCATTACTTTTTACTGAATCTCTAGATCCTCCAGGGCAACTCTGTGGTCAGTGTTCACTAGAAGCTAGAATCTCCCTGGAGGGCCAAGAGGTTCCTCGAAAGAACATAGCAAATCTGCAAAAGCTAAACCTACAAATGTGGAGAACTGACACTTTTTCAAGCAGGTGTGCAAATAAATTAGTGCACTCAGTCACATTAATGAAAGATGTTATACTTCTGAAATGGTAGTCATTCTACGAAGAAAAAAATATTTCCACCAAATGCAATTAAGAACAATAACATTAAAACCTGTATAATGTATTTGTAGCAGGTCCTGTATGTAGTTGCTGTTGTCTTTTCTTCAAGTATATTAACGTAATTAAAATGCAGGCATAATGCCATAAGACTTGTAAAAGTTTACATGGGGTCAATGAAAATTGTCTAAATTATTACAATTATTGTTTATTGTACATAAATATACAAATTGCTATTTTTTTACAGATTAATAAAAACTGAGACTATATAGTTGAGAATATGTCAGTCATTACAAATCCTGTGACTGTTGGGACTTGCACGTAGGAATCCAAAATCAGTCAGAGGCCACAGCTGCGAAAATAAAAAAACAAGCCTGTTACGTCAATTATAAGACATGGGTCATCTTCTCTGATTCTCCTAAAGTCTTAAAGTTGGAAATGATGGCTGTTTTCAGTTGGTCATTGAAATGCTGTGGTTTGGCAATTTAGAATACAGGCGGTCCCCAAGTTACAGACATCCGATGTACAAATGAGTCATAGTTAAGAATGGAGGGGAGACAACAAGGAAGTGAGAGAAATCTACCCCTAGGACAGGAAGTTCACTCATGAAAGGGTTGTCATGGGGAAAAGATTTCTCATCTGAAGCTTTACCACCAATCCTTGTTTCCACAACAAGCCACATTTTTCAAAATCCAATTATCACAGGGGCAGAAAATGAGGTGTAATCTTCTGAACAGGGGCACAGGTGTTAACTTTTCCCTGTGCTAATCAACGCGCTTATATATATATACACACACACAAACAAACACACATACAGTATATTGGCTGGAGTTACACTTAAAATGTACCTGTTCTGACTTACATACAAATTTAACTTCAGAGCAAACCTACAGAACCTATCTTGTTCATAACTTGGGGGACTTCCTGTATTCATGAATACTGCCAGAGACAAAAGATTTGGATCACATACTGTATGCAGAGAACTACAACCCCATCTCTCTCACCACCACTAGTCAGAGAAACTGGCTCAGGTTTTCTTAAATACAGTTAATGCCAAAAATGAATGCGCTGTGGTCCATGTGATGTGCTGAGGTCTCTGACATTCCTCTGGAGGTCAGATACTTTACCTACAGCCAGAGGCAGCCCTAGGTAATTTTCAACGGTAAGCAAACAGTATTTTGGCGCCCCCACCAATCACTGATATATATTTTCTGTTCGTCGTGGGAGTTCCGTGTGCCATATTTGGTTCAATTCCATCATTGGTGGAGTTCAGAATGCTCTTTGATTGTAGGTGAACTATACATCCCAGTAACTACAACTCACATATGTCAAGGTCTATTTTCCCCCAAGAGTGCCCTGGGCGCAATCAACTATACTGCAAATGTTTACTTTGCGTAATAGGTTGAGCCGCCCCTGCCTACAGCAAATGTTTGTGGTGTGTATCAGAAGAATGAAATGCAACAAGAATTGCCATTTGAGAACAGACCCTTTTGACATACAGTCAGTAACAGCTAAGCAACTGAAAATGTAAAACTGCTATCTTCCAACAATATTGCAATGATAAATGTTACCCTCTTAAAGATTAAAAAGGGTGTCAATATAAAACTTATTTCTAAGAAGAGATCACATGAAATTAAATATCTTTTAATTCGCCTTCTGTTTTGAGGTAACTGATAGAATGCTTTAAAAACAGAACTATTAAATGCATGGAAGAACAATCCTTATCAAAGAAGAAATATCATGGCTTCACCAAAGAGTTGTACAGCAGTATTTACACTGAGATGTGTAAAATTGTTAGATATTTTGATACTTGACTTTAAAAAAAAACACCCAAGATTGTTAGCAAAACCTTTCATTACAGATTCCTGAGTCAAAGAAAGGAAGTAAGCAGTTTGCCTCTATGTGTTTTTTAGTGTGATGTAATCTGCCAAGTCCCCTTGGTGAGATAGGGCGGAATATAAATAAAGTTTTATTATTATTATTCCAACTCTGACTACTACTGGTTTCCTCTGCATCCATATTGCATCCACTCCTTGAAGTTTCCCTGACCCTTGGAGTCAAGTTTTTAGAAAGAAATGAAACAAGGGGGCTCCAGTGTGTGTATGGTTTGCTGAACCCAAGTCTTCTATTCACAATGTATTGAGTAACTGGAAAACAGAAATAAAGTTCTTCTCTGATACATGTTTTCACATTCCTTCCATAAAAAGGATATATAGTCAAACATAAAATTCTTCGGTTTGCACTGGATAGTTTTTTGCTTGAGTTAGCTGACACTTCATACATCTTCAAACACAATAGTGACTTGAGATCATGCTCTCCTGTAACATTTTAACCCCCCAGGGTTCATCACTAGATAATGAATGTGTCTCATGGTAGTTCAGGGCTTCAAGACACATAGAAACTGTTAAATTAACACATTTTATATTGCAGGAGAATACCTTAAAGCAAATGCGTCCTCTTATCAATCCATATGGAACAGGACCATAACACCTGGAATCTGTGGAATTTCTGAGATTGTCACCTTCTAACCAAACGTGTCCTTTAGGTACCTAGGAAATATTAAAATTAAATAACAAATGCATAGATGAAAGCAAATACAGATATTTCTCAGTAATGTAGTATAATTTTATATTTCAACACACAGGTACATTGAATGAATAATTTTACACTTCCCTAAACAGAGGTAGATAGCAGAGGCAAGAAGGAGGAATCCAAGTATCTATTCTTTCACATACTCCAAAAACACTAGTTTGCAACACACAAAAACTTCGCCAAATGAAGATGTAAGGGGTTAGGCCAATGTGACAGGGTCATTAATTTAATAGACTTCAAAAGAGGTCATTAGGATGTTGACTGAAAATCTGCCCTGCTGTCGCAGTAACAGCATGAACAGGGCAGCCACACACTCATCAACATCCTGGGGCCAGCACTAAGGCTAGACCTGTTAGTAGGCTTGTGATGAACCAAATGGTAATTGATTGTGACATCAATTACGAATAATCTCATCATTTTATCAGAGAGGGCTTGTCAAAGTTCTAATTAAGATCACAGTTCATTCTATGTGCAGGCAGGATCCACAACACATAATATTGCAATAATGACCATCACAAACCAGCAAGTCTCTCCTTATAATTTGAAAATTAATGATGGTGACCTTATCATATGACAGAAACCTTTTACTGTCTATATGGACTGTGCATGAGCTATATTACATGCCATAGGTTCAGCCCTAAACTAGCACTATAATATCTGAAGACAGAATAATGTAACTGCAGCATTAGCTAGAAAATATATGATTTATGTAACAAATGCAGTAAAGGACTCCAAATATTCAAAATATAAAACTTTAGAAATGCATATTAACAAAACAGTAGCAGAAAAATGTTTTACATCTAGAATGAGATCTTATTAGACAGTAAATAAAAATGACAGGATGCTGGTGAAAGCTCACTAACATGTGAGTAATGCCCACTCAATATAGTTGGTCTTGCTTTGAAATATACATGATTTGGACAGTCCAGCAGATCTGGAAGATGACACATTCCTTAGAATGTTTATATGAATGTGCAATGTATATCTCTCAACCTCTCAATCTTTTTGGATCATAGATTATGTTGAGAGTCTGAAAGGTATGAACCAACTCTACTTAAAAATAAACACAAAGAAATCAAAGAACATATTTTATCAAATTGAATTCAAGGAAACCCCTCCCCACATCCTCATCATGGGTGTCAGGTGCCACAATAAAAGAATATTGCATCTTTTGTAATACAGATATTTTGTGACAGTGTTGGGCATCTTGTGTAAAACAGGTGGTAGCAATTCCAATTATCATAACTTCATCTCAGTAGCACAACAAAATGTGAGGAAGTCAATGGCGGGAGATTGTCTGCAAGGACCTGTACAACCATACCACTCTGAACACATATAATTTTATCTGATTTCAGAAAGAAAGTCTGGTTGAGCATGGTAAGTGGGTTGTATGGCAGATAATAGGGAACCCCAAGAATTTCCAGGTATGGCTGGGGGAAAGCCTGATGTTTGTCAGAGGGAACAGTATTGTTGACAGAATACACAATATCATCTGATTTTGGGTGCTAAGTAGGATCGGATGTGATTAGTACTTGGATAGAATATCCCTCTAAAATGAACCTTGACAAAAAAAAAAAACAGCGAAGATATTTCCAGTCATAATTAACCCCACTGGATTAGGTATGACAATACACTGACTCGATACATGATAACTTCCTGTGAACACTGAAGATGAAACGAAGTAGTGATAATAAAAATGGGGTAGATGCAATGCTAAAGCAAGAGTATAGAGAATGTCTTTTTCCAGAATGAGAGAAAGGGAGCAATTTTATTTGAGACGGACTACCCAAATAACATCTAATCTCACACATAACACTTTTTAGACTAGGCTAGCGCTAAGTCTATATATGGCCTCCACGTCTCTTTTGTGGCCCCAAGCAGCTTCAGGCTCCCTGAGCCACCTTTTTCTGGGAATAAATGGCTGCTTCTGCAATCCTCTAGAAGTGGGAAATCATCATCAACATTATGTTTATATCCCACCATATTTTAGAAAGTTATTTGAAACACTGAATCTGGGGGTGGGGGGCGTCCCTTAAATTTTGTTCTTTTAAGAGTTCAATGATTAAGATCACTGTGAGTAAAAAACAGAAAGTAGTGAACAGAGGAGAAGAGCAAGGAAGCAGGGCAGGGGGGATTAACAATACAGGGTTAGTCAAAATGAATAGGCCAATAAGAAAATTAATTTTAGACGAATGTATGTTTACTGTAACCAAACCACAGCTACGTAGCGACAGATAAACTATCAAAGTTTTGTCTCACCTTCAGAGATGTTCGATATGGGCACCCCGTGTGACACGGCAGATGTCCAAGCGATAGTCCAGTTCATTCCACATCCGTTGCAGCACATCCGACGTAATGGCATCGAATGCAGCAACGTCTGGGAAGGTGTTCGTTGAGGTCCTAACCCTAACCCTAACCCTATCCCTAACCCTAACCCTATCCCTAACCCTAACCCTAACCCTAACCCTATCCCTAACCCTAACCCTAACCCTAACCCTAACCCTAACCCTTGAAATTCTCGCTGGACCGTAATTACTGACATTGTTTTAGCAAATGTCATCACACAAAACGCCTTCTCTTTGCTTGATTCCGCCATTTTGAAAACAGCGACCCCTAGCGACGCCTAGCGGCATTAACGTACATGTGTGTTGCTCAAAAAAAACTTTGATAGTTTATCTGTCGCTACGTAGATGGTTTGGTTACAGTAAACATACATTCGTCTAAAATTAATTTTCTTATTGGCCTATTCATTTTGACTAACCCTGTATTGCTGCAAGAGAGGTGACCCTCATCCTTTTCTCCAGTAAGACCTGAAAAGCAAATTGCAACCAAAGGGAAGCCAGCATAGAAAGTGAAATCATGTACACCCTTGACAGGAATCACACTGCTTCCTTTTGCACTTAACAGCTAGAGGCAGATCAGCTTTTTACCACTTTGTGACAAAAGTAATTATTAATTAACAGTGTTCTACAGTGAACCCAAAGCTCCAGCTATTAAGATATCCTTTATCATTGCCATACAAATCTAGTCAGTCGCTTTTATCACCATCATGCAAAGAACTTTTCTTTTCTTTTTCACTCAGGGATGTGCTACATTTCTTTACAATAAAGACACAATAAAATTCTTCTTGTCACACAGGATCAGTTTCTGCCATAATTAAATATTTAGTATTCAAGACACCAACTACAATCTCTTAGTCTGCAAGTCTGCTCAACTTTTCTTCCTTGTTTTCACTATCACTGTTGGCCTGGGCAAGCTTATACTCTTATTTGCCAAGGTTTTTAGCAGTGCATTGTACTACTTTTTATTCATTGCCTTTTTAATATGCAAGTTTTAAATTGTTTTCAGTTCCACAGATAGTTTAATTACAACTATGTGTTTTACCTATATGTGTCTTTATCTGTTTTAAATTTTGTAAGCTGCCTCAAACTCAATTCTTGGGAAAGGGTTATGCAAATGTTGTTGATTTTCTTGTTAGTAATGGTAGTAGTTTACATACATAGACCTTCTGGGAACTTAGAATCATAGAATCAGAGTCGGAAGAGACCTCGTGGACCATCCAGTCCCGTTATCCTGAAGTACACCTGCTTATATGCATATATACAAACACGAAATCTAGATTATGGGCATACACTTCTTCCCTTATTAAACATAGATTAGGATTATGTGATAGGTGGAGTTGACTACTTATTAATATGTGGAATCAGAACCATTGCTCTTCTTTGGGACACTTTTAATAACACTTTTATAGTGGCAGAAACATACCCTCCTATTCCAGTAAAGTTGGAAAATCTGGGCCTTGTGGACAAAGCTTCTCATTTCAAAAGGAACGTAAGTCCTCCTGGAAACTGATGCAGCTCTTCAAGTTGTAAGGTGCAAAGTAACATATTATGATTGCCATAGCCAAAAGAGATGTACAGAAGAGGATTGGTGTCCTTCATTTTTTGTCTGAAGTATTTTGTATTTTGACATTTTATGGAAAAACAGTCCATAAATTATCAGGCAAACATCTGAGCTGGTCTTATCTGAGCAGATTATCAGGCAAAACTGTTTAATACACATCTGCAGAACCCTAAAGGAGATCAGCTGCTGGGTTTTGGGGTTTTTTTTTGTCTGTCTTTAAATATAAACCAATTATTAATATTACTAAAATATTTGTTTATTGTGATATGGTCCGCTGCACTTTGCTTCTCAAAATGTAGCCAACACATTAAAACATCCCAAAGATTAAAAGTATTCTAGCTCCCTGAAAGGATATAAAAGTTCTGGCTTTTAAAAAGAATCTTATTTTATTCCTGTTACATTTCAGAGGTTTCCTGCTTGGACTATAAGAACCTGTCTTGCCACTAAACAAAAGAATGAAGTCAAAAGGTTTCTCATCTATTCCCAGTGATGCCAAAGTGCTTCCTGTAGTGGTACAAGAAACTAATGTAATTGCTTCACTGCCTGCAGGTATTCATCTTACAGAAGAAGCTTTTGTTAATAAATCACAGGTGTTACCTGTCTTGATTAGGGGGAAACATGATAAAAGAGCCCACAGAATCAAATAACAAATTTACTAGACACTAATGAAATCTGTATGTTAGTTAAATTGTTGTTGCTGTTAACTGCTGTCAAGATGATTTTAACTTATTGCGACCCTGTGATGAATTGCCTACCTTTAGACCAGAAAAGCTCAAGAATTAGGCCCAGGGTTTTTTTTGGCATCCATTTTGTGTAATGGAGCCTGGAGGCAGCCATCTTAGGTTAATTATTTCCTAGTGGAGGCAGAGCTTAGAAGCAGCCTGGGGGGAAATGTGGAGAACCCTTGTGATTGGCTGGGAGAAAGTAGGCAGAGCTTGGTTGAAGTGCAGGGGAAAAAAGCCTTGAGGATTGCTTTTTGAAATCTGACAGTCAGTTTCTGGTATTTGAAGAATGTAGTTAGGCTCTGGGTTTTGAAGAAGACAGTCAGGAGAGA